GTCAGAAAGAAAGAAGAGTAAATATGGAGAAAGGAGGGAGGGAGTCAGGTAAGCTGATATCAAATGGAAAACTTGAATCCATCCAAGGTAAAGTCCAGGCCTGGTTTTGCACCTACCCACCCCAGCTTCCTTGCCAATACCTGGGTAACTATGATTATGCCAGGAAGTAACCATGGCAACCTGGACAAACAAGCCCTGGTTGCTAGGAAGAGGCCACGGCAACAATCGGCCAGGAGAATAGGGGGGTAGGACCAGACATTTCTCTCCCCCTCTACCCCTCACCCACAAGAAATGGCACCTCCTGGTGCTTGGACTGCGATTCCCAGAATTCCCATGGGATGGAAAGCTAGGGATTCTGGGAGTTGCAGTCCCAAAGGCTCACTTTCAGAAGTATAGCTCTATGGAAAACAACATGCTCACTGGAACAAAACCCGGCACCGGCATTTTTATTCCTTCTCTCCATTGGCTTTGCATGACAACAGCCTCCCCCCACCACCACCTAGTCCTGAACGCATTTGATTTTATAATTTACTAGCCGATAACCTGGCATAGCCCAAGTATGTATTTATCCCAATCCTGTATTAGAGGGAGCCCCCTGGTGGAGTACTCGAAGCCGTTACCACTGCAACTCCACTGTGCTGTACAGTAGAAGCCATTTTAAGGCGCAACAGGCTGTATCTTGAAAGAACTTGAATCCAAAATGCACACTATCACTCTCAAAAGTACGGTGACGTGACAATATAGATATACTGCATTTTTTGGAGTATAAGACGCACCTTTTTTCCTCCAAAAAAAAAAAAGGGCTGAAAATCTGTCATACATCAAATACAGCATTTTTTTGCCTCCCAAAGCCCCCCCTTCACCAAAATGGCCGTGCATACCCTTATGGAGGCTTTCAGAGAGATCCTGGGGGCTGGGGAGGACAGAAATGAGCAAAAAATGGGCCATTTTTTGCTCGTTTTGGGAGGGGGGCAGGAGCACTTGGCAAGCTCCCCCAAGGCTATTTATGCCTTTTTTTAAATTTAAAAAAACGGGCCCGTTTTTGTGAAAAATGGGCTGTTTTGGGGAGGTTTGCAGAGTGCAAAAACTTTTTTTTTCCTTTTTGGAAAGTTCTTTAACTGATTGGTGAGAATTAGATTGATCAAGTGCTGTGCCAGCAGAAATGAAGTCTTAAGTGCTGCAGATTGTCAGCGATTTCTTCTCCAGCACATGGATAAATACACCTGGAAACATCTACTTACCTACCTACACTCTCTCTCCCTCCCTCCCTACTGTATTTCTCTCTCTCTCCATCCATCTAGCAACCTACCTACTCTCTCTCCCTACCTACCTATCTACTGTATTTCTCTTCCTCTCTATTTCTCTCTCTCTACCCCTCTACCTGCCAATTTACCTACTCTCTCTCTCCCTATCGTATTTTTCTCTTTCTATTTCTCTCTATCCCTCTACGTACCTACCTACACACTCTCCCTCCCTATTGTATTTCTCTTTCTCTCTCTTTCTCTCTATTTATCTACCTACCTACCCACTCTCTCCCTCCTTCCCTTCCTACTATATTTCTCTCTCTCTATCCTACCTACCTACCCACTCTCTCCCTACCTACCTACTGTATTTCTCTCTCTCTCTTTCCTTCTACCTACCTACCCACTTTCACTCCCTACCTACTGCATTTCTCTCTCTATCCCTTTATCTATCTGCCTATCTACCTAACTACTCTCTCCCTACCTACCTACTGTATTTCTCTCTCTTTTTCTCCCACTCTATCCCTCTATCTACCTACCTACTTTTTTAAAAAATTGCCTCTTCAAAATCTTGGCGCGTCTTATACTCCGGTGCGTCTTATACTCCGAAAAATATGGTAATTCAGTTCATTTCAGCGGCCCAGGCATTCCAGAGTTATGCTGGAACACACAGATTCGGACACACGCATGCACACAGGCCGAGGGGAGTTAGGAGTGTCTTATCCCCACGGTATTTGTCTCAAGAGAGTAAGTCATCTGTATACCAAGTTTGGTTGAAATTACACACAATTACACACTACATTCGCTTGTAGTGTCCCTGGGGTCATGTAATCCCATTTTGCAACATTCTGAAATAGTCCATGGGGACTATTCATTTAATAACCATGTGACTAACTTAACAACTGCAGTGATTTGTTTAACAACTGTGGCCAGGAGGATCATAAAATGAGGCACAACTCATTTAGCAACCACGATTTGCTTAACAACCGTGGCCAGGAGGATCATAAAATGAGGCACAACTCACTTAGCAACCACGATTTGCTTAACAACTGTGAATTGCTTAATCAC